TCTGAACCGTCTCTTTGTTTTGGTCTATTTGGTGTAAAACTCAAAATAAAAACAGTTATTTTATTAAAGCATGACAGAGGTTCATAGCAGCACTCCTCCTCCTCATCATCAACATGAAGTCCAACCAGTTCAACCAGCGTCCCTTCACGTTTGTTTTAGGTTTATTACACGTCTTGCTTAAAAAACTTTCTCTCATCGTTTCTTGTACTGTCTTCATGCCTCTTCCAGCACTTTCCCCTCTTTTCTTCTTCCTCCTTCGTCTTCCAGCTGATCGCCCCCGAGGCTCTGCAGTTCCCTTCAGTCGGGCTTAAATGGAAACACATGGAGGCTCATTTACTCACAGATTCCCAGAATTCCTGCCCGTGAGGTCACTCGGTGTCTCCGCTGCGAGTCTTCATGGCTTTCGCTGCTCGGAAATGGAAACGCCGCCGCGCCGGACTATGTGGGTCAGGACTGCTGAGGTCAAAGCGTTTTTATGGAGTTTCGTGTCAGATTTACGACGGCGGAGTTCATCTGAAGTGCTTTAGGAAACTAATACGGATAAAAAGAAATGACAAACCGACGCGGGGGACGATAGGACAAGAGGACGTTCCCATAAATGAGCTCTTACCAAGACAGTAAATAGATAATTAGCATGTTGCTCGTCAGCATTTTTGTCCACAACTCATGAATGATGCACAAAATGACGAGAACGAACAAATCAAACATCTCGAGTCTCAGTGAAGGGTTGGAACAGCAGATGTGGGATATTCACACAGAAATATCCTTAAAGGTGAATTTAAGGGTTTTCTAAGATGAATCAAAGGTCAACTTCCTGGAGGGGATTCAACAGTGGAGCTATTTGCTAAATCTTTTATTGTGAAATCCGTGCTTGTCTCTCGGGGACACATTAATTCCACCTGGCTGCGTGAGGCTTGTTGCATAATAACTTACAAAGAGCGAGGACAGACTGGCTGCCAGAGTCCGTCTACAGGACCAACGTGGTGCCGCGACGAAGAAAAACAACTTCCTCCTTCCTGTAGTTCTCACCCTCCTGCATCTTGATTGTTTAAAAGTTGCCTTTTTTTCTTTTCTTTTTGTTCTTGCACAACTTATCAGCAGCTTTGATTGACTTAAACTCTGCTGAACAAACCTCCACCCCCCGGCTCTGGCTCTCAGAGAAACACCAGCCTCTCCGGGGGTCTCGGCGTGGGGCAGCACCTGGAGGCCTGGAGGCTCCACATGAGGCCCAGCGGTGATATACGATCCCGGCCCGCGGAGCAGCGGCTACATCTTGATTTACTTACATGACGTCACATCTGTGTGTGCAAGGACACATCAGCGGCTGCTGTGTGATGCGACCACATCTGTCTGAGGCTTCGTGTGACTCTCCTTCTTATCTGGTTTGCACGATCTGCTCGGCTTCACTTGAAAGTGTCGTCTTGTTTCCAGCGAGTCCACAGGAAACGTGAATAAACTGAAAAGGGAAAGTGTTGATGTGATGAAGGCCTCAAGCTGGAGTCCAAGTGTGGCTCGAGTTTCAGCCTTTTATTCTCCTCGTCCATTCATGATGCTCATCTCCTGTTCACTTTATAATATGTGCAGTACCTACTCAGGGTATTTATTTATTTAAGGTTTCCATATTCTATAGAGTATTTAATTTAATTTCATTTCATTTCATTTCATTTTTTGATTTAATTTTTAAATGTAACTTAATTCAATTTATTGTATTTTTTAATTTAATTTATTTATATTTGATTTAATTTTAATTTTTGATTTATTTTAATTTAATGAAATGTGATTTATTTTATTTCATTTCTAATTTAACTAAATTCTATTTGATTTAATTTGAACTTTTAATTTAATTTAATTTAATTTAATTTAATTGTTATATTTAATTTGATTCAATTTATTTTATTTTATTTTTAATTGAATTGAATTGAATTGAATTGAATTGAATTTAATTTAATTTAATTTATGATATTTAATTTAATGAATTTTGTTTTCATTTTAATTTTAAAATTTTTTCCCCTTATTTTTCTCTATTTATTTCTATTGGCTTACAAGCAGGACCTAAGTACTAATTTCGTGCCATCTCATGGAAACGTGTCCTGATACGACAATAAAGAATCCTTGAGTTCTCTTTATAATGTGTGTTTATTTTATTCTTATAGCTTCTGTTTTTCCGTTGCTTTTATTCTTTACCTGTTTTCTTTGTTTGTTTGTTTCTACAAAGCTGACTGAGAAATAAAATAATAAAATTCTTTTCTTTTCTACTCATCTCTGCAGTCTGCTTTATACGTCCTGTTCTTATTATATTGTCTTTTCTTCTTTTTTGTGCTTTAATATTTACATCTCTATGCACCAGGATGACTGGCACTCCAACCTCCTTCATATGCAGAGCTGACAGGGACCATAAAAGCTTTTTAAATCTGAGTTTCACTTGTCTTTGATGCCAAACTCGAATAAACTAAAAAGTGAAAGTGTTGTTGGATGATGAGCCTGATGAAGGCCTCATCATGGTTGACCTCTTCCCACTTTCCTTTTACATCTGCGAGTAAGAAGTAAACCGCAGAAGCCTCCAGCCCTCCGAGCAGCATCTCCAGTTGTTTGGAAGCCGTTCTGCTCGTCTGCACTTTGTGTTGCTGCTTCAGCGGAAAACACGCCCGTCCTTCTCCAAGCTCGCTCCGGCGGTTGAGCGAGGAGGGAATGGGTTTAATTTGCCTCGCAGGCGTCCTTCAGGGGCTGTAAACAAGATGCGTCTGCAGCCTGACCGACCTACAGCAAACGTCTGCAGTCTCCATTTGTTAAATCCTCATTAACTCGCTGCAATTACGCCCGGCGCTGCTGGGACCAGCTCGGCTTAACGCTCCGCTCGGCCTTCGACTGAGGCAGCAGTAAAAATTTAAAGGTCCATTTAAATTCATAATTGTTCCTCGTAAGGCAGAGACGGTGCGACTCCGTGGAGGAAAACGAAGCTCAGGGTTGTTTCTGATTGACCCACATTCAGCTGCTGCAGACAGACGTGATGAAACGATCAGAGATTTGAGTTGAAATGTGTTGTTTAAAGACTCAGTGATCACAAAACAAAAAGACAAAGGAGGTAGAAGTAACTGTTGGTGATGCTCCACTTTGTTCCAGGCAAAAACAAGAGCAAAGTCATGAGTTAAATCTTTAAAAAGCACCAAAGCTGCAGATTTTAAAGCCCAAATGTTTGTCTGGTGAGAGATCTGCTCCTGTTTTCAGCACCGGTTTGGCTGCTGGGCTGTGAAGCAGCAGGCTTGTTGTTTCTGCCGCTAATCAAATTAAGCAGCAGAGTTCTTCACGCCGTCCGTCACCGCCAGCGAGGCGACTCTCTGACTGGTCTGGAGAAGCTACCAGGTGGTGAGAAAACAGGACTTGTGGGTTTCACCTGTAACCGCCTCGTAAAGCAGAGAAAACACGAGTCTGGTTTAACTTCTAATGAGTTAAAAATAAAGGGTTGGTTGTGCTGGAGTGATGACTGAAACTCAGATATTATTGCTCACTGTTTGACCTCTGACCTTTACACTTGTTGGTCAAAGTGGCTGCTGGAGCATCTCACACTTTATTTACATGACTGCATGAGATAATAACATTTAAACCATATTTGATGTTGAGTTTAGTTTATATGACATATGTGCATTCCCCGTTCTATCCACTCATGTTGCTCATCTCAGCAGTCCGCTTCATATTTAGTGTTTCTAACTCTCACATTGATGTTTGTCGAGCTGTTAGATTATTGAGCGTCTCGTGTTTTCTATGCAGCTGCCCTCCTGATTTCATTGTATGCAGCGTTTACAGTCACAACAAACTCCTTCTGATGCTGAGCTTCACTCGTCTTTGAAGGCAAATTAGATCAATAACGAACTCTTTGTTTCCTTGTCAGAGCAGTCTGGGTGGTTTGACTATCAAAGGCTGTTTTAAAGACCCATTAATGGGTTTTTTTGTCCTGCAGGCTGCTGTGTCATGTCAGTGAGAGGCAGCCCTTCAGAATAAAAGCCACACACACGTTTCATTTGCATAATGAGGGTTTGATTTTCAGGTTGCTTTCAGAGCTTCATTTAAAAACTTCTTCACCATGTTTCTTATAAAAGATGGATACTGGATATCTCATGGGGTAAATTACTCATGTTGGGTTGTTAGAGCAGCAGAGGGGAGGTCACAGAAAGTCATTCCTCCCAACAGCAGGAAGACTTTTCAGTGCATCTGGCAGATCACATCAGGATCCATCACTTTACCTGCTGATGAAGCCACTTTACGTACTGGACGCTCTACATTCTAACTCCATTCGTTACATCTGTAAACTAGTCTGGACCTGCTTATATCATTTGCACATTTCTCTATCTCTCGCTCTCATATACTTTTGTAAATGTTGTTGACTTTTCTTTCTATATTATATTTTTATCTTATTTTATTTTACCTTCATTTTAACACCCTAATATTCTGTGTTGTCTTTTTGCTTTTGTTTACCCATTTCGTTGAATATTCATGCTGCTGTTACAACTGAATTTCTCTCTGGGGATTGATAAAATGTAAACATCACAATTTAAAATAAAGATTGTTGCATATGTTTAAAAAATTAATAAAATAAATAAAAGTACGCGGCACAGACAGCCACGAAAAAAACAAACAATACAGAGCATTTTATAATATTTTAAAGTTTGTTTTCCTTTTACTTCTGACTAATAAAACGCCTGAACCTGCGGCGCTCAAACCGGATGAGGATCTTAATTTGAAACTCCTCCCGGATGCTGCCGGTGCTCAGCCCGGCCGCCTTGACGCCTCCCGGCCGTCCAGCTTGACTTTCTCCGTCCAGAGCGCTCCAGAGTCAGTCGCAGCCCGCCGCTAAGAGGTTTACCTGCCCGGATTTTACCACACAGTCCACACAGGTTATTTCCAGCATGATGACGGAGCGACGCGTCTCTCTGTAGGTAAATAAAAACCACTGATGAATCTCTTTATTCTAGTTTTTCTTATTTTTTTTTCTTATTTTAGTTAAAACGTGGCCGCTTGTTGGTGTCGTTCCGCCGCGAGCTGCTGAAAGGAGCTTTTGTTCGCTTTTATTCTGTGAATAACAAAAACGAGAGAAAAGTGACGAGTGTGACGTTTTATTTGTCAACATAGAAGCCCGAGTGTGTGTGTGTGTGTGTGTGTGTGTGTGTGTGTGTGTGTGTGTATACGTGCGTGCGCGTGACACTCCCTTTGGTTTCAGCGTGCGCACTTTGTCGTGATGTAATAAGAGGAAAAAGCCCAAACACGCATCTTTTTCTGGTCCCACTGCTTTAAACGGACCCGACTGGAGGTTTGACAGACTTCTAGCGACACAAACTGGTTTTTCTGGGACACTTTGAGGCCCGTTCGTGGCCACTCAGCTGATTTCTGACCCTGAAACCCGAATAAAAGCAGAATTAAAAGCTGTTTGTCTGAGCTCACGGGGACACTTTGGGCTCTAATGGAGAATCTCGCCCATCTGGGTTATGATGATCTAATTTCTAAGCAGATTAAGCAGTCAGATGTTTTGCGCCCCAGACATTCTCCAGGAAGGGAGGGCAGCCTGATGATGGAAATATTACACAATTTAGAACTCATCCAGTGCTTTGTGCTGTCGGAGTGAACTTTGTGATGTGCTGCCAGACACACAGAAGACAGTGAAGATCCTCTGACTTTATTTACTGTCTTCAGGCTCCACTGATAACATGAAGCTTCTCTAAACAGCAGGATGATGATCAGAATCAGGCTGGTTCAGGAGCAGAGGTGCACTGTGACAGTGAATCTGTAAAATATAAGATAAATAAAGGGTAAAAAATCTGTGTAAAATAATAACATTTTATTTTTTTTCAATGTATATTTAATATTTAGGATTTTATAGTCATGCAGTAAAATAAAAAAGCTCATATCTGTTTAAATTTTTTTTTTTAAATAGATGTTAATGTTGACATATCTACAATTTTTTCCTCAGTTCGGCAAATAAAATATATTTTTTAGTGATTTGACGAGTTCTATGTGCAATTAAACAAAACAAGAAAAAAAATCTGAATTATTTTACCATATTTCAGCCCTTAATAGACAAAATGTTTCTGTCAAATACCGGAAAATATCAGTAAAATTATGACATTTTTGCTGATTTATTTACAGTCAGTGAATAGTTTAATTTTACAGTCAAATGTTGTTTAATCAATTTACAATAATAAACAAAAAAATTCTGATCATATAAATGTTTGATGTGGACGCTGTTTGTGTTTGTAAAACTTTTTCAGTGATTTTATTAGATGTTATTTGCAATTTACAAAAACAACAATAACAAAAACAGGAATATCTGTAAAGTAAAAAAAAAAAAGATTTACCATTTTACATCATTTAATGTACCCAATATATATTATGTATGTTTTTCTTTAAATTTTTTATTTTTACTGATTTAAATACATCAAGGAAATCGTGTAAATTTACAACCAAATACTGTAAAAGAACAAATTACACTTTGAGAAAAGAATTAATTAAACAGATTTTTAATGTGGACGCTGTTTACAGTTTGTTTTTGCTACAGTCAATTAAACCCATTTTTCTGTGATTTTACCAGATGTTATCTGCAATTTACAAACAAACCCAAAAACAAAACAAAAACACAAAATAAAACAGGAAAATCTGTAAAATGAATTTAACTTTGTTATAATTTTTTTTTTTTTTAACATTTTTTAAAAACCTTTTTTCATTCTTTAATGTACACAATAGTTTGTTTTTTTTCTTTAAATAATGACTTGATGAGGGTTTTTTGCTGAGTTAATTAAATAGTGACATTTTACAGTCACATGTTATAAAAAAATACTATTTGTAAAAATGCAAATTTTTAACATGGACTTTATTAGTTATGGCCTGTTTTTAAATTATCACCATGTAAATTAATATTATTTTCCTTTTTGTGTGATTTTACCAGATATAATTTTACAGTTTAACAAAACAGAGACAGTCTGTTCAATAAACATGAATATTTTTTTCAGTCTTTAATGAACCTATGTTACTTTTAAATAGCTCCAAATATTAGTAAACAATATTTTTCTGAATTTAAATACAGTGAAAAAAATGGAAATCAAGAGTCACGTGTTGTAAAAGAACACAGAAACAAAAAATACACTTTTCTATGTGGATGTCACGGATACCTTTGGCCTGTTTCTTGATGCTAAACATGTACATTTATACTTTTTTCTTGTGTATTTTAATCTAATTGTCATCTTTTGTAACTCAGCATCTGTAGAATACCATTGAGTTGCTATATAAGGTCAGTTTTTGCGGCCTGCCTGCAGGACTGGAAGCAGGCCTCCTGTGTTTGTGAGGGTTCGTTCCTCTGGCGCTGATCTGTGGAGTGTTGGGAGACTTGAGGAGAACCTGAGATGATCTCAGAGCTGCAGTTACATAACACAGAGGGAGTTAACTGGAGCTTCATTCCCAATCTTTTATCTCTGTGCTTCAGCCGGTTGGAAACAATTTTCTTGTTTCTGATTAGCAGCTGGTTGAAAACGGGAAAAATAAAAATAAAGGGGGGAGAACAAGTTGTTTCAACATCTCCAGGAATGGATCAGAGTTTCTGCTGAATCACAGGAGTTCGATGTAAAGAAGTGAAGTTAGAAATAGAAAGAAACGAAGAAAGTGAGTCAGACGGGAGTGAAACCTTAATGTGGAAAACAGCCACACGGAGACGATGAGAGAAATCAGCTTTGTGGCGAAAACAAACGGATTAGCAGACGAGCAAAAATGCTTTTCGTCAACAGTCGCCTGCTGTGCGTAATTACGCGCGACTCTGCGGCGAGAGCTGCGGTGCGTTCAGGCGCGTTCGTCCCGCAGGAGGAGGAGGAGGAGGAGGAGGATGTCGAGGCCGAGACAGGAAACAAACGGAGCCTGAGAGCTGCAGCAGATGTCCGACCGGCCTCTTCCTCCTCTTCCTCCTCCTCCGCGGCTCGTTGCATCATCGGCAGCAGCAGAAATTCCAGGAAAGGTGATGCAGCGAGAAACATGCCTGGTGGAGTTTTAGGGAACTTTGTTTGGTCCAGATGACTACTGGGTGGTTAACAGTTGGTCTGAGGGTGGAAGTTCATCAGATTTAGGTCACTTAGACTTTCTAAAACTGGAGCATGATATAAGAATAAGACTTAAAATGAAGCTGAACTGTTCGCTGAAGACAACTTTAAAATAAGTGAAATAAAGAGTTAAATGGCTGATCTTTTGGAAACTGATTGCTGAAGTTGATTTATTCTGATTTTTCTTTCCTTGACCTTGAGTCTCCTCTGAGTGTTTGACTCTGCATTGATTAGATCTCCTCACTAACGAGGTTAAAAACAGCCTCCTGGCGCTCATCAGGGTAAAGTTTGCTGCCCCGTGAGCTTCTGCACCAAAGATTCAGGTCATTCATTGGGATGTTTTCCTATTTTTACCCCACTTATCTCTCTTTCTGAGATAAACATGCTGTAAATTGGGAGTTTTTTGGGGCTATGATTGGAGCAACATGTGTGGAAGGTCAAATCAGCATCAGAAGATAAACTAATCAAGTGAACAGAGATTAGATTTTATAACAGTGCTGCAGAAAAACTAAAAGGAATCTGAGTAAACACGAACTAAGCGGAACATTTTCCAGCTTGTCGAGGCAAATTTTGCAAACTTAACCACAAATTTGAAGGAAAATGTTGAAATAAAATACCCAGAAAGTGTCGCAATCTTTAATCCCAGCGCCTCCGCCCTCCTGGACCAGTTCAGACTGGCCCAGTTCTGGTGTTGCCTCCATTTGCATTGTTGTGGTTTTGCTTCAGTGTCTTTAATGAACCTCGTCCTCCCTTCATTAGACGGTTTGTCAACGCTCGATTCATCTCCTCGGACTCGTGCTGTGAAGCTGCCGTCGCTGGTCTTTGTGTTGAAACGACGTTTGACTCGTTAACGTCTCGTTCTTTACGGCCTGAATTAGCCGGAGACGTTTCAGATGTCGTCTCTAATGAATCTGCGGTTCACACGGAGAGGATTTATCTTCTGCTTTTGTTTCTCGTTCGTGGATGTTGTTTTGGAAAGTGGTGACGAAAGGATGAAGAGAGAAATGAAAGACACTCAAACACATTTAAAAAGTTACAGTAGAGACGAGTCAGCGCTTTAACGTTCATGTTTGACAGTGTGTGATCGCTGTAAAACCCAGAATGAACCCCATTGGTCCACACTGTGAAGACAAAAAGATGAACAATGAAAATCTGTCAGGAAGGGAAAAGAAGGACATGAACAAGATGGAAAATACTGTAAAAACTGTGAAAAAGATCATTTAAACTGATTTAGATAAAGTGGAACTGTGTAGTTTTACAGTCACACTTTGTAGAGGAGCTATTGTTTTGTATTTCTGATGTGGATCTGTGGTTTTACTGAAGAAAATCTGTAAAACAACAGTTAAGAACAGTTTCTTCAATCATCGTTCAAAAAAAATAATAATAATAAAAAAAAAAAAAATATATATATATATATAAATATGGAATTCTGTAACATTCAAAAACCGTAAAAACCTTAAAACTACCGGCACATATCTGTGGAAAACATCTTTTAAACTGATTTAAATGAAGTGAAATTGTGTGATTTTAAGGCCACACACTGTAAAACTTTTTTTCTTAGATGTTGACATGATTTACAGTTTTTTTTATTTAAACAATTAAAGTGTAAATTCATCCTTTTTTCTGTGATTTTACTGATATTATCTGTAATTCAACAAAACAAGGAAAATCTGTAAAACAACAGTTTAAAACAGTTCTTCAATCGTTGTAAAAAAAACAAACAAAAAAAACACCAAAACTTTTCGACTTGTTGAGGCAGTTTTCACGTCAGTTAGGAACTCATTTTTCCGATTTATTACGACTCCACATGTATGCGTTAGCGGATATCGTGCTAATGTTGCTAACACCAGTAGCGAGCTGCGTGTTTCATCTTGAAGAACAAACTAAACCAACCAGATTCATCCTGATTAGAAATGTTTCCTGAATGTATTTTTACAAGTTGTTGTGCCAGAATGGTTCCTTACCAGTGCAGTCAGTTTGGTTAAAGAGGTTTAATATCAATAAAAGTGACCAAATCTGTATAATTCTCGCTTTGTGCTCCGTCTTTAGTGTCTGATATCCCCAATTATTACCTCTTTCTTATTAAATAAACACTATAAATGTTAGTAAACCAACATTTAACCTCCTAACTTTCATTTTTTAGTCAATATTATGTAAAGAATTTGTGAAAAACAACATTTCTGTCTGTGTTTTTGGAGCATTTTTGTGCATTTAAAGCTGCTTTTTTGCACCACAAGCATTTGTATTGTTCTGTATAATTGGAGATTTTGTCCTGGAGTGAATTTGTCGTGTTTAAAAGCCGTGACGTGTCTCCGGGGTGGTCGACGCATGACTTGGTGCAAAACAAGCTGCAGCCTGAAAAGACTCTGAAAGGTTTACAAGAGACTCGTCGTTAAAAGGAGCTTTTGAACCGACTCTTCCTCCAAATTACCCTCAAAAACAAAAACAGAAGACGGCGGGTTTCCTTCTGTTCGCAGGTCGACTCGAACCTTCACGCGTGAACGTTCGCGGCAACGTTTCAGATGCCACCGAGACGTGATGAAGACGAAAATACTGGCAGCAGAAAAGTCATTCTGGGGGTTTTATTGCTTTTACTTTGCACAGAAGTGTTTAAATAGACGAGTTAAACCGCCGAGCTGCGAAATCCTTTTTAAAAACAACTCGCATGGCTGAGACTGAGGCAATAAAAGATAAAAAATGTACGAAAGTGCTGCAGCGACGAGGAAATAATGTGTTTTTTTGAACATTAAAACGTATTACAGTCGACCACAGAATTAAATGAGGATGTAATGAGCATGAAATGGGTCTGATTGAGTTGAAAAGAAGGAATCATGACCCGAAGGTCCGACCGTCACAAGATTCATTCATAGTTGTTCCTCTGATTCCTGAACAGCGCTGAGCAAACACGCAGCAACACAGTTTGAGTCACGAGATGTTAACGTTATATCAGAGACACAAACGTTTCAGGACCGAATGTTACATCAGAAACCTCGATGTGCACAAAAAAAATGTAGTTCTGACAAAAAAATCTCAGTTTATTCGAATGAGGATGAGTTTAATTGACAAGTTTGACTCTGTTTCAGTGCATAAACACAAATCATATAATACATAATACAGATTTTAAAAGTGTTAGGAGTCAAATTAGCAGCAAGTTGAGCAAATAAAAGAGACTGTAAGTCATAAAAAAGTAAAAGAAATGCAGCGTATGTGATGCAACAAAGGTTTTAAAGTGTCTGAAGTCAGATTTGTCTCCTTCAAATGCTTCAGATCTCCTCCTGTGACAAACCTGCTGCAGCCTGAACCAAACAGAGCTTCCCTTCATGCTCAGGTCATAAGATCACGGAGGCTTCGGGCGTTCTGTCGTCCCATAATTCACTGTGTTGGTCTCAGGAGAGACGCTTCAGGATCGTTCCCTGATAACAGGCCGAGATGAGGCCTTCTCAGGCCGACCGTTTCCGGGCAGTAATTTGTGCTTCCAGCGACCAGGCTGAGGCTCTTTGGGAATGTGTGACCAATTTTCTGCTCTGACTCACATTTTCACAGAGTCGGGGGCAGCCGGACCCCTGTTAGCAAACACTGGGGATTCTCCGAGTGTTTTCCTTCATATGTCTTGTGGCTCTTTGAAAAGGAGGCCGTAAATCTGCTCCCGCCTTCATTCCTCCCTCCCCTCCGCCCCATCCATCTCCCCCCCGGCCTCGTCCTCCCCCCTCTTCATCTCTTTTTTGACTCCCTTCTCTCTCGTTTCTCCTCACAGATCTCCAGTGTTTTGATGTCACATTCCTGAAGTTTCTGGAGGACGAGGCGGCAGCGGATCGGACGCTTCATCATTGCAGCTGGAATACAGAGACGAGGACTCTTGGATATGGCTTTTCTGTGCATGAGAGGAAGCTGATCTGAGGTCAAGGCCTTCGTCCTCTCCCCCGGAGTCACATGTCAGCGTGAGGCTCAACCCCCGGGTTGCTATCGCTACTCTGACCGACCTACATACTTGTTAGCCCATTTAGAGAAGCAGCACAGACGGGATCAGACGAGTGAGTTTGCTTTGGAGCTGTTGACTCTGCTGCTTTTAAGCACTCTGGGAAACTGCTGAAGCCGCTGAGAGCTCGCGCCGATCACCTCAACATGCCGGCAAAGACGCCCATGTACCTGAAAACGACGACTCCCAAGAAGGGGAAGAAGCTGAAGCTGCGCGACGTGCTGTCGGGCGACATGATCAGCCCGCCGCTGGGCGACGTCCGCCACAGCGCCCACGTGGGACCCGAGGGCGAAGGCGACATGTTCGGAGACGTGGGCTTCCTCCGGGGTAAGATGGACATGCTGCCGTCGCTGAGTCGGGCCCAGAACGGACACTCGCGCTCGCACAGCGTCGAGAGGAACGTGGACGACGGCTTCGGCTCCAAACACGACTCCCACAGCTACGCCTACAACGGCTTCCACTACCAGCACTCCACCAGCGGCCTGCTGAAGTCCACCGTGTCCATGCCGGTGTTCATCGCCCACGAGCAGGCGCCTCCCAAACCCCCACGGCTCCACCTGGACGACCCCTCACCGCAGAACCACCAGAACCACCACCAGAACCATCATCAGAACCACCACCAGAACCACCAGCAGCCTGCGGACGGCGGCCACAAACAGGCCAACGGCTGCGTCCAGCAGCACCCGACCCTGTCGCTCTGTGAGAACGGCGTCGTGGGTCGCCTGGCGTCAGAACCCTGCCGGGACATCTGCCTGTCGCCCGCCATCCGCAAGCTGGTCCCGTCCTCCGGCTCCTTCTCCGAGGTCTCCTCCGAGGACTCCATGTCGGAGACCTGCGGGCCGCTGGACGTCCGCCGGGGCCTCAGCCTGGACTCGGACGCCGGCCTGAGCAACGAGGACCTGAGGAGCGAACGCAGCGAGTCGCCCTGCGCCGCCTTCCACCCCGCCGGCCTCACCGCCTCCTCCGCCGTGTCCCGGTCCGACTCCATGGCGGGGTTGGACCTGGATCTGGGCCCGTCCATCCTGGAGGACGTCCTGAGCATCATGGACCGATACAAGACTGTGGACAACCGGTGCGAGCTGTGAAGAGATTAATGTGACATACAGATGTTTTTTATACATTTAATATATCCTTTAAAAGCAAAGGAGGGAAACAACTTCTTCACCAACTCTTGACTGCTGAGTTTAAAGGTAATGAAAGACTAAAGGAGAGTTTTAAGTGCAGGGACGCTGCTGCTGACGACAGCCGAGGCAACAGGCTGGTCCTTGGAGCCTTCATGACGCTGGACTCCCTCCGATAAACATTAAACTGTGAGATAAGGAGCAGAACGGCAGGAATATTATCAGAAACCTTCCTCTTCTGTGGATAAATACACTGTACCGTCTGTTATTCGGAGGATTTTCTGCTTCGTTAATGGTTAACAAACTGCACACTGAGTCAGATATTAACGTCTCCGCATCGATCCGGGAAACATCGCAGCCGCTGATGGTTCGCTGTTTCTCACATCAGAGGATGTCCAGTTTATTTATGCAGTAGAGTTTAAATGACACAAGCTCAGTCAGACGAAGCTGATCTTTTAAAGCTGCAGGCCATAACCAGTCTTAAAGTGTTTCGGGACAGGAGCGTCTTCAGTGTGAAATGTGAAGAACTGCTGATTGGACGGTTTGCAGCAGCCGATGGTCACTTGACGCCATCTGGTGTTGCATCTGGGAACAGCAGCACCGACGCTTCACTGACGGGCTTCTTTCTGTGACCAGAGACGTTTATTCTTGTTTAAAAAAAAGAAAAAGAAAGAAGAAGCTTTAATTGTAAGAGAAGTGCTGCTTTGTAGATCATTTTCAGATACTGATCTTTTTTAAAAACACTCTTCGTCCGTGTCGCTGTCGGCCTCGTTCACTGTCTGCATATCACAGTAGCCTATTACTCGAATGTCATTTATGCTGTATATACCTCTGTAAATGTCTAAATAAAATGTTTCCTATAAAGAAAAACGGGTGTTTGTGGAAAATTATTCAAACGCAAAAAGGTTCAATTAAATTATGAGAAATCTTAAAGACATTAAGAGTGGAACAAATACCTCGTTTGTGTATTTATTTTGAAAACTATCGTGTGGAAGTTTTCCTGTTAGTGGCAAGTGAAGGCAACAAAACATTTACGGATGTTTAAACTACATTTTGACAGATTTATGAGTATAGAAGTATTACTACAGGATAGTGGGATCTGCCTTGTTGCTCGAGTGCAGATGTAGTTCTTGACTTTTCAACTAAAACTAATTGTCAGTACTTTACAGCTAGTTTATTATTCTGCACTACATGCTGCAGGACTTTATTCTGTCTAATACGAAGGTGTGCATTCATACCAATTATCTCTATAAATATATATATTATAGCCACTGGAAAAAATGTAGCTAGTTTCTTGATGTTACCACTAGAAAACATAGAAATGTCTGTTATTAAATGTTTGTTTCTCTTGCTTTTTTAAAATAGATGTAGCAGGAAGTTTGAGTGTTTGATTAACAGGAGTTCACTGACCTGAAAACTTTTTTTGGTTGTATTTTTATTGTTATATTTTGAAAGGATTTACCTACTATTTTTTGACCACAGGAAGAACAGCACTCGTCTATGTATGAGATAGCTGATTGTTGGATCAATAAACAATTCAAAAAAAATACCGGAGGTTGTCATATCTCCTTCCGCGTTGACGAACATTTTACTAGTTTAATTTGGCGATTTTATACTTAAAAAAATATACACAATGTGGATCTGCAATACAGAAAATCTAGGAAATTAGCATCAGTGGAGCTATTAAATGTCACATTATTGATGTCGAACGTCTGCTTAGCGTTAGTTGGGAGCTTCGCCACAATTAGTTAGCAGTAGCTACCAGAAAGTAGAGAATAGGTTTTCTTCTATCACATATTGTACATCGTCGTAGCGGCCCCTTGATATAGTGTCCACTATTAAATCAATCGTGGTAAATGTTTTACACTTGCTGTTATATGTTAAATGGAATCATTGTATATTGTTATATTCTTTTAATTTCTTACGTTTTACTACCTCGTGTATTGAAATTCCTTCAGTTCCGTCAATTAGTTGAAGTTCCTCTCCATCTGGCATAAGGAGGGATTACTGCCCTCTTGTGGCCATACTAATTCATAAAATTAGTAAAACGCGCATTAATGCAACCAATATGGCAAAAACACGACTTCCGGTAAATTCTTTCAAATTATGGCAACAAAATTTAGACAAGGAACAAAAATTAGTTATGAAATCGTTCAGTTTAGTTAAATACAGGCCAGCTGCTTTGACATGCAAACTGAGTTTCACGTAATCTACGATAAAAATCTAGTTAGCACACTCTTTCCAAATGTTAACTATTGATAACACGCTAGCAGCACATTGATTAAATCCTTGGTGGAAAAATGGCAATAGTGTGTTCACCACAACGCGAACTATATTGCATAATTTCTGAAGGCTTCTGTGGACGTTTCATTTGCTAATAAAATGACCGGAAACTCTGCATGATGTCATTGACGCAACTTTTACTAGTTTGCTCCATTGTCAAGTTAGCGCTAATGCAGCAATAACAGAATGCTACGTTTCCGGTGGAGGTATTCGGAACTTTTAAAAGTAATCAAATGTAAAAAATTAAACGGCATTTTAATGTTGGGGAATATTATCCTAGACGCTGACTGATGTCGACTACAAACTGAAAAAAATACTGTTATTTTATTTAGTTCCTACACGAGTTGATTCAAGTAATCTCTTCTGCTCCCTGTGGAGGGCGAGGAAGCGACCGTTTATACGAAGCGTAGAAGAAGAAACTGCAGCATTAGCAACCGCAGAAGAAGAAGACGCAACAGCAGCAGCAGCAGCAGCAGCTTCCTGCGTTGCTAACCTGTATTTTCTTTTGTTTTTGTCACATTAAAGTTATCAATGATTATTCCTGACGGACGGAAGTGACTGACGAAGAAGAGGAGCTGCTGTTAAACGTCTTGCAAACATGAAGTGAGTGTTAAACGCAAACAGAAAAGAGCAATGCTAATCTGTGCAGGCAACATTAGCTGTCAGTGTTAGCTTGACTGCATTAAGTTTAGCGATAGCAGGCTAACGTAACTAAGCTATTTAAAAAAATAATAATTCTGACTTTAGCAGCTGCAGTTTATTCCAATTCTACTCTGTAGCTTTGTTAGTGGTTTGTTGTTATTTATCTGTGCGTTATCGAGGCTCGTTAGCTTAGCTTCACTCACATGTTCTGTTGCTCGCTGTTAGCATCGTTACTGTGTCATTCCAGGCTCAACATTGACGGTCTGCTGGTGTACTTTCCGTATGACTACATCTATCCGGAGCAGTACTCCTACATGCTGGAGCTGAAGAGGACTCTGGATGCCAAGGTGGGTGGTGTTAAAGCGTCTCTGAGTTTATCCTGTAGATATTTACAGTTGCCTTGTAAGAAATGGTCAAACTGTAGTATGATGACACAGTCATATGTCAGTGTCAGTGGTGGATAAAATGATCTAGTCCTACTCTAAGATTCCCTCTAGATATGTTTAAAGATATATGTCTGTAAATAGTCTGCTTGTACTGTGTTATGTCAAATGCATATGTGACATTATCAGATTTGAAGCATCAAACCTGTGTTACTGTGTTTGTGTTCAGGGTCATGGAGTCCTGGAGATGCCGTCAGGAACAGGGAAGACCATCTCCCTGCTGTCTCTTATTGTTGCCTATCAAAGGGTGAGTTCCATCTCTGGGATTTAAAGTGCTGCTGGAGTCTTTGTTTAATCTGTTTTAGCTTATTAATACTCTAACATGTTGGTCTGTTTCTCTCTCAGGCCTTTCCTTTGGACGTGACCAAGCTGATTTACTGCTCCAGAACAGTTCCTGAGATCGAGAAGGTGAGTGTCAAATCAAATAACTGCTGCTCAGAAACATGGTAAGGTGCTTTAAAAGTCCTCTCATCTTAACTTATTGCATTTCTCCGTCTGTGTGATGAGGTTGTGGAGGAGCTGAGGAAGCTGATGGAGTTTTACGCCAAACAAACTGGAGAGAGCAACAACTTCTTGGCTCTGGCTCTTTCCTCCAGGAAAAACCTCTGCATCCACCCTGAGGTACGAACAAACACAGCTGATCAATCTGCAGCAGTTTTTCTAGACGCAGCACTGTGGTTTCTGTCTGCTACATGTGTGAAAGTTTAAATAAATGCTTGTCAAACTTGACGTAGGTGAGCTCTCTGCGCTTCGGTAAGGAGGTCGATGGGAAGTGTCACAGTCTGACGGCGTCGTACATTCGAGCACAGCGACACGTTAACCCGAATCAGCCCGTCTGTCGATTCTATGAGGTAAGGACTGGTTTTAGAGTGATCAGAGAATAACCTCAAAATAACATTGTCTGAAAAAACGAGGCTACTTTTAGTTGAAAGTGTCTTTCTTTGTACCTGCAGGTATTTTACACCTGCACAGTCAACACAGTATCTGAGACGTGTCAATGATATTGTAAAGTACTCACAGCAGCATGCCTGAGGATTTTTTTTAATGTTGTATTAGATAATAAAGAAACAGAATGTTATGAGCTTTGTGATGTCGATTGACAAGCAGTTGAAATCGATGACTGATGAGTCTTTGATTCCTTTAATAAAATAGTTTCATCAATAAAATGTAAGAATTTCTCCTCCACTTTCTTGGAGCCAAAAGTACAATTTTCAAATAGTTTTGTCAATCTAATGGCAAAAACCCAAAGATGTTTAACTTGTGGTTATAAAAAAAAACAGAAGTAAGCAGAAGAAAAACGTACATTTGAGAAGCAAAGACCTTCAGATTGATTCATTTCAACCCAAACTCAGGAGTAGAAGCCTCATTTATAATACAGCTGAGTAAAAAACTAAACAAAACCATTTCGGCACGTGATTTAGAAATTAGACATTAGTGACAACAATAACATTTAAAAAGAAAAAAAGAATTATTAGTTAAATAAAGCCATTAATAATAGTTTGCGTTCAAAATTTAAAGCCAAATAATTAACTGAAACATGAACAGCTGGAGGTAAAATTAAAAAACTAAATTGCCAGAAAGATAAAAATGAGTCCAGCTCTACATTGTTCTGCTGTTGTTCCAGGCTGCAGATGCACAGTGAATAAAAATCTGGACTTTAGAGGGTAAAAAATCTCACTGCATTCTTGCTGGATATCATCCATATGAGGTGTGTGATTAGTCATCAGATTTTCATGCCGGCATGTGATTGGACAACAGGGGACAGCTGATGACTCTCTGCAGCAGTAAAACAACACCTGGAATCTGTTTCACCCTCCTGTCAGGGTTTCTAACTGGGTTAAAGCAAACAATGAGCAGCTCCGTGTGTAACTACAGATTAGATTACATGTCGAGTGTCTTTTGTCCTCTGAATGAACTCGATCTCAGGTTCACGCTGCTGAAGTTACGCAGCATCACAGAGACTGATGTGTGTGTGAAGGTGGAACCTTTATTCAGCTCGTTTACTGCAGCTGAAGTTAATGTGATTCATTTATTTTTTCCTGCTGTGCTTTCAGATTTAGTGCGCCTCCTCTCATCTGTCTGCAGCTCGTTTCCTTAAACAAGCATCTCTTTTGCTTTTTTTGCTGCAGGAGTTCGATGCCGTCGGCCGTCAGGTTCCTCTTCCTGCTGGGATCTACAACCTGGACGACCTGAAGGACTTCGGCAGGAGGAAGGGCTGGTGTCCGTACTACATGGCTCGCTATGCGGTAATACGTTAATCCTGCTGTACAAACATGAAATGTGTAGCTCCATGTGAACTACATAGTATTTCCTTGCACCGCTACAGACTTTCTATTGATTTTATAGTTTGTTGAACTGAAAACAGATCCAGTATTTTGAGTAAAAAAAAAAGAAACGTGGGCTCCTCTCCTGAGACAATAAGTATTTTATTACAGTATTTGCTAGAAAGTCAGAGGTGCTTTTAGTGAGAGCCTTTATTTCTCTTACTGACTGGAAACGTTT